TTGTTATCATTAGAGGCTGGGCTCGTTTCTGGCACCTAACGTTGGACACATTGACAGCAACAAGGTTGATGGAAAAGGAAAGAATCTGTTTTGCAGTAGGGGAAAAAAAAAAGCTCTCAGATTTCTCAAACCATTTGAAATCATGCCAGAGAAATACTTGATTTCAGCATTGTTAAGCTTTCTGTGATGATGCAGCACGCGGTGTCCCCCACATGCGATGAAGCATTTCAGAGCCGGAGTTTTCTCAGTATGTTCCAAGCCTGCAGGCTCCTGATCCTTTTTCAAATTACCAAGATGATAGTATCCCAGTGAGAGTTGTGATTAGTCTAAACTCTCCACAGCTGTGAGAGATGAATGTACAAATTCCAATAAAGATTCTGCATGTTCTGGACTGAATTTACCTACATGACATTGAGACCTAACTCAGAGACCACTTAGAACTGGAGCTGCTGCAGTGCTATTCTGGGTCTTCCTCCGCCTCAGGTGCTAGGAGGCTTGGGACTGCTCCAGGAGGATGCCTCCCTGCCACCAATGCCACTGCCCAGCTGTGAGACTTTGCTTAGCAGGCCTGTGAGGTATGCAGAGAAGAGCAGGGCAGGGAAAATTAAACCTAAAAGCATGGGAACTTAAAGAGGCCTTGTAATTCATTATGCAGATAGCCAGGAGAGCTATAAAACACCCAGTAACAGAAGGGGTTGCTCTAGCTACAGAGGAAAACAGAACCAGCTACATCACCACCTGTACTGAATTTCTAACCTGTGGTCAACTTGTTACACCCAGCTGAACGGAACTAGCGTGGTGCTCTGGTGACCAGTGTGGGAGGCCCACCTGAGGACTGTTGCCAGCCGCGTAGCAGGCAGAGCCGGAGAAGCTGCTGAGAGGCTGTTGGAAGCTGCTGGAGGGCCTCCTCATGCTGGCTTTCCTGATAAACTTGGCTATTGTTGCTAATGACTGTTCATTTTGGGGGGAGCTCTGGTCCTTATCTTTTTTTTTTTTTTTTTTTTCTGGTCCTCATCTTGAGCATTGCTTCTTGGCTACAGAGGGTGTTATGGTTTGTGTCTAGTTATCCCCCCAAAACTTCATGTAAGTCATGGGGCAGGCCCAGCTCCAGGAGCAATGAATGGCTTGAGGGGAGGGGCCAGAGGACCAGGGCGGGGCTCGAGGGGCGGGGCCAGACAGACCAAACTGTTAAACTGGCAGCATGCACTGGGCTCTCTTTCCTCCAGCCTGCGGTCTCTCTAAGGTGTGGAAGCCATCATTCTGGACATGGTAGGGCCCAGCCTCTCCTCCAGATCCTGTAGCATGGCGCGGGGGAGGGGGGTCTGTGATTGAGGCCACCTCAGGCAGACAGGAGATGTTTGGAGATGACAAAACACTGACCCTCTTTCCTGAGCAAATAAGGCTCCAAGGTCTCGCTACATAATTCAGGCTATTTTAAACATTGAAACCTCCAGTAACTGTGAGCTAAATAAACCTTTCCTTCCCTCATTTTGAGTGTCAGGCATTTGTCCCAGCAAGGAGAGAAGAGTAAGAGAGAAGGGAAGATGGTGCACTGCTCAGCCTTGTGGAGAAGTTTGTCATGTTGGCTTTCTTGACGGGAACTCAACTTTCCTCATTGTCAGAAGAGCTCCGGACTTCACTGCTGCTGAGGATGGCTGTAGCACCTTTGGGGGCGCTCTGGTGCTTACCTTGAGCATTGCTTCCTGGCTCCAGTTCAGATCCCTCAGCCTGCTAGCACAGATCCTTCATCCAACTGGCAAAGATGTTCTGGCTCCCACCACTGACTGACCTTTGGGCCTTTCCAGCACAAATCCCTGAAACAGACCTGCAGGAGACTTTGTCATGGGTTCTAGGCCTCCATTTGGACTTGTGGGAGTCATTGTTATGAGCTCTAGGTTTTCAGCTGGACTCATGCAGGATATTAGGATCCAGGCCCTCAGCTGTATTATTTGGTCTTTTAGCGTGTGGACAGATTTCCTGCAGTCCTTGTACATGATTCTTTGGGTGATTCATCAGAAAATTGTATTATAAAATGTCCTGTATTGTACTGTTTCCCATGCAAAACCTCAAGCCAAGACACCACCTCTACTTCATTAAAAAGGTTCAGAGCATTTTTCAGTTATCTAGAAAAGCACACAAGGCTCTGTTTTCTTAATTTGGATACCTTTTCTGTAAAATACTCCTTTGCTGTCTTTCTTTTTACATCCGTGAGACACAATGTCCAACATCCACAATTATTCCAAGGAGCAAAGGTTTATTACGACTCTAAGTTTGTGGAGGTTTCATTCCACAGCCAACTGACTCCAAGGCAGGGTGGGATGGCAGAGGGAACGGGCAGAGGAGAATCAGCTCATGGCCTCGCAGTCAGGAAGCTGAGAGAAGATTTCCAGAGGAGGAAAGGAGGTGATGCCCCGGGTGAGCCCCCTCTACCAATTGGTTGGCTCAGGCAAATCCACGGATAAGGATCACACCCTATGATGCACCCACCGCTATGAGTGAGTGGGGCTTTGGGGGAACATCTAGATAGAAATCAAATCAAAATGCTTGGAATACTAAGTTCTGTATTACAGTAATAGCACGCTCCTTTTTCACATTTAATAATTGTATCTGAAGGTACTCATGAGTTCTCTTTTCTGAAACATCTGATGTTTAGCATAATTTCTAAGGCTGGGAAAGTCTTAAGGGACAAGGATTAACAAATTGTGTAAATATATTAACAATTACAGAGATTAAAACAAGACTGTTCAATCTAAAGAATGTATCACACAAATTTTTAAAAATTATGACTTTAATATGACTTCTAATATGATTTGCGTGAACGTAGTAGTCTTGGGAAGCCCTGTCTACATTCATCTTGCGACTCCACCTCCATAATTTGGTGTCCATTGACGTGCTCCCAGGTATCTCTCCTGCTATCTGGAGATTTTAATAATATGCTAATCATCTGAGAGTTCATCACACAGCTGTACCCATCACATCAACCTCTGTGATATGTGGCATTTCTCCTTGTGGACACTGAACTTGGCTGCCACTGAGGCAAGTCAAAAGATCAGGAGATTCACTGAAGAGCTGACAGCTGTAAACAAAATTCTCATAATTCCAATTTGAATGATCCACACATAGTCTGGTTTTTTTCAAAGTTTTATTGATAAACAGATAGCAATGAGACAGTTTCAAATCAAATCGGAAGTACAGTTTCAACAAATATTACTCTGCATATATTCTTCTTAGTGGTTAATTGCTGTACAAGATGCAGACTTGTCATCCTATTTACAAACACCATTAGAACAAATCATTCTATTCATTAAGAGAATGCAACTATCTATCTATCCCAACCACTTTGAATACACAGATACAAAATGGACATTCATAGGCATACCCCATTTTTTCTAAGTTCTGTTATTGAATATTATAGGTGTGTAAACTCAGCAAAATATTCTAAAAGAGTCCAGTACCCCCCCATAATAGCATTGGGTCTTCTGTTTAACTGGCAATGTCAGAAATTATTGACCTGAGTTCACCACAGCTCAACTTAACAGCATGGCTTTATTTCCTATCATAGTCTGTTTTTAAAACAGAGGGAAGAGTGAACAAGCTCAAATGTTTTCTAATATTCACACAAACAAAACACAGAAAACCAGAAACATTTCCTCTTGTATTTTCCCCAGTTGCTCGTTGCAAATCTAAGGGGTTCTCAGATTTCTTTTTCTAGAGAAAAATCAAATTAGTAATGTAAGCCTGTCAAATGGAATTGTAATATGCATTATTTGCTAGAGTCAAGCTGCAAGCACAATTTTTCTCAAGATGCTTTTTCCTGGTTTTCTGCTGGAGACCAGATCCAAATATAATCACACGGCCAGGCTTCTTAGAAAAAAAAAAAAATGTTTTCAATTGGTGAATGGCTAAACCAGGATTCTAATAGTTCAAACAAAGGTGCAGGGGGTATAACCAGAGCAACCTCACAGGAAAGGGTATTATTGCATTCCTAAGAATATTTAAAATAGATTCAATCATAGTATTAGCGGTGTGCTAATAAATGATAACTACCTTTTAGGGTTAAAGCCATGCTTTGAAGCATATGCAATTTCCCTGGTATACATATGTCCTCTATGGCCAATACCAAACTTCCCAAGCAACATCACCTAATGAAGGGAAGATACACAACAGCAACCTATTGTATAGAATTTCCAAATACAATAGATGTAAATAATCTCAGCAGCATAGCAGTAAAATGGAGTGAAATAATGTTGCGAGATTTTTTAGTTTTAACTTAGTTTTAATTTAATGTAATTGTAAATTTTAATTTAAGTTTATTAATAGTTACATTTAATACTTGGCTCCCCAAATTCATCAAAAGTTAAAGTTTTTGATGAATAAGCTCTTGCCTGCCCTGCATGTTTTTCTTCTGGGACATTAAAGTTATTCCGAACAAACAACAAACCATATAAATGAAACTGATAATATCTTGGATAAGCCCTCCCCAGTTTCCAAGGATGAAAATCTCTTTGCTAGTCGCTCTTTAGAAATAAATACTACTCAAAGCAGAAGCCAGACCACGGAGAGTTTTTATACCAATACCATTATTGAGTAACTTAGATTTGTATCATGCGTGCACGTCTACAAGGTAGTGTTTGTAAAGGCACAATGGGGCCGTCTCGCCGTGCACAGTAAATTTAAACCGGCAGGTAGCAGCAGTACGTGGATTCCTAATGGGTGAAAATCGAGCCCCAGGAGCTGTTCCTTCAAAAGCTCGCCAAAGGAGCGGGGCTGATCTTCCGCCCCACAGTTCCCACTGGCCCGCCCGCAAGGGCTCCATCCCGGTGCAAACAGGTAGGTAGGTGCACCGAGGCGCTCTCGCGCATGCGGTCTCCCGTCTCGAGCTCCCGTCTCGTTCTTCACTCCCGGAATTCGACTAGCACTCTTTTCTTCTGACGAAATAGATGGAGTTCGGATATGTTCTAAGAGTTCTTCCAACAGCCAAAACTATTAAGAGTCATTAACAATGAAACGTGCCCTTATCAGACTGAACAGCCAAAGGATGGCTTTCCACCAGATGCGAAGGTATTTTACTGCAGCTGACGCTTCTGCACCGAGTCTACATAGAACGTTCCTGCCAAAATTAACATCAGCAGTAGTCGTGGCCGAGTGGTTAAGGCGATGGACTAGAAATCCATTGGGGTCTCCCCGCGCAGGTTCGAATCCTGCCGACTACGTATAGTTTTTTTAATTTTTTCCTTGTCTCTTTTACAGCGAATTAGCCGTACCTTTGGTAAATAATCTAAAGCATTTAAGAATGACTAGCAGACCTCATTTAAGAAAAGGACCCAAAACGAGCAGTGGATAAGAGAACGAGAAAGACTTCGTGATCACAGCCTGGACTCCGGAAAGACAGATGGGACGAGATATCACTAGAAAAGTGAACGGGCCAAGACCGCCTGGGAGCGGGTCGCTGGTACCGCAGGGCAGGCAAAGAGCCCCAAGCCCGCGGACCCACCGCGCCGGGCTCCAGCCCTCAGCCGAGGAGCGCGCCAGCCTTCCCGAACGCGGAACGGCTCGCGCGTGCGCAGAACCAGGCGGGCGGGCGCGCTCGCGCCGGGTCCTGGCGTTGCCCTGGAAACCACCAGGCACCGCGCGGCCGCGGGAGGTGGAGCGAGACGTCATGGTTCAAGATGGCGAAGGGCTTGGACGAGCTCTTGGATGAAGTCGAATCCAAGTTTTTCACACCCGACCCACTGCGACTGGACTTGGACAAACGGCCCAATGACGGCGGCGGCGGCGGCACCGGCGGGACGACTCAGAACAACGAGTGGAATCGAACCCAAGCGAAGGAGACGCTCAGGTTAACGGGCGGGCGGGTGGGCTGTTGTGGTGAAGCCCGGCCCTGGACCCCGCCCCGGCCCCGGCCCGCCCCCGCCCCCTG